GGGTTCTGGTTCTGGAGAGATCGCTCTGCCCTGGGGCTTCAGGCAGTGACTGATGGCGGATGTCCCTGAGGTTTGGGGACTCGCCCATCCTTCCTGCCAGCTCCACCACCCTGCAGCCTGGCTGCTGCGGGTGAGTGCTCTCTTCCTGACCACAAAGCCTGCCCACCGGGGGCTGATCTGACGGGCAGCAGACCCGCTTCCGCCCAGTCAGCAAACTCATGCTCACGGGGCCTGGGAGCTCAATGCCATGCTGGGTGCAAGGGGATTACAAAGTGCCGGGGCCTGCTGTGGTGGTGGGGGTACTGGCCCTGGGGAGTCGAAAGCAGTCAGGCACCTGGCAGGGCTGCTGCTGGGAGCGTAACTTGGCTCAGGGGATAGGGACTGGGTCAGAGGTTCTGATCCAGCCCAGCCTGGTCCCTGTGACGCCGGGGGACTGGCTGCAATGAGCTGGCCTGAGCTGTGGTGGTAGACAGGAGGTCAGGGTCGTACCCAAGGAGCAGAGACAAGGGCTCCCCCATTCGCCCCCTGGCTGGCAGCACTCTGTCCCTGTGTGCAGGGGCAGCGCCAGCGCAAGTGGTAGGAGCTCATCCCCTTCTGGATACCCAGAGACTTGCAGGGCTCTGAATCTGACACCGTTCCCCGATTTAGGGAATGGCCCGGGAGGACCGAGCCCCTCAGGACCAGGGCTGATCGCAGCCTCTCCTCTCTGCAGTGGGACCCGGGGCTGGGCTCAGCCTTCCGGAGAAGGTGGAGCCGTGGGAGCCCCAGGGTAGGCACGGGGAGCAGGTGGGCACGGCTGGTGCTGGCTCTGTGCTGCCAGAGGGTGAGAGCACACCGCTAGGGATTAGGGGCTGCTGAACCTGTTAGCTGCTCAGCGCTCTAATTAGGACAGGTTTCATTACCGAGATGCACTGGCCACTCAACTTCAATTTGCAGAGCTGCTGAGCAGTGGGCCTCGCCAGGCGCTGAGCAGCCCGGGGCACGTCCCCGAGCTCACAGCTAAATTCAGCTCGGCTATTTATGGCTCAGGACAGCAGCAGCCTGGTTCCTGCAGGGGCTGGGGCGAGGGACTGCACTGGGGTGGGGGCAAATGACCGGGGCTAGCGGTGCCAGTGGCGAGGGGGTCCCAGCGATGGGCACCTGGTTCCTTAGCAGCTGGATGTTTGTGTCCCTTTCAAGGGGCCTAAGCGGGTGCGCTCGGGCCGAAGTCAGCTCGGGGAGTTGGGGGGCAGGCTGGGTGGGGTCTCTTCATAGCCACCTTCCCTTTCTGGTTGACTCAGCCGTGAGCTAATGCTGGCCCTTCCCCCAACTCAGCTGGCCCCTGGGGCACTGCCTCTGACAGGACTCCCCCGACTGCTCCATGGCCCCCTGGGTGCTACCTCCAATGGGGTCTCCCAGCTGCTCCCTGGCCCCCCGGGAGCTATATCCAGTGCATTATTGCACGTACTTGAAATTGCCTCCGCACGCTGCATTTGTCCCCCGTGCCCTCCGCTTGCCCACGGAGCAAGGAAGCTCTGTGCGGCAGGAAGGCTCAGACCTGGGCTGGCACTGGCAACTGCTAGTGTTTGCTCCAGTATGGGACCCCACTGCGCCTCCCACACACACCTCCTGGGAGGGGCTGGCGGGGGCAGGGTAGAGCCTTTTAGGTTCCTCCCAAATTCTATCTCACCTCTGCCCCCTCGTGCCCACTTCCCCCTTGTGCCGTTCCCTGCCTCCCCCCTTCAGCCCGGCCTGGCTCACTTCCGAGCTGCCTAACCCTTGTCTCCAAGGTGCTGTTGATCTGCAAACCTGTTTTTCCAGCCCCCGAGTAAAGGTTAGGCAGCCAGGCAGCACAGGCTGGCGTCCTGTTGGCCATGGGCCTGTGTGGGGACTGCTGGGCTTCTCTGAAGGGATGAGGGGGACAATGCCTCCACTCCAGGGAGGACCCCGGAGACTCTGCTCCCCCCTCTCCTGGCTACCAAGCTGCTTCTTTCCTGTATTCCAGCCCTGCCTGGCACCCTTCCCTGGCGAGGGCTAGTCAGGGAGTTCACTCCCCCAGGGCTGGAATCTGGGAGAGGCTCCTGGCACAGGGACACAAAACCTTCCCCCTTGGGCTGCAGTCGGAAGGAGCCAGCACCACTCAGAGCACCCGCTGGGTGCCTGTCCAGCTGCAGGCAAACGGGACCCGTGTCACCCTCTGGCACTCGTTGCCAGTGCTGTCAGAAAGGCCACAGCTCCGTAACTCCCTTGCCATGCAGCTGGGTCCCCCAGGAAACACAACTGCCTTGCACTAAGGCCCAGACGTCTAACTCCCTTAGAAGATCAGGGCCTCGGGCAGAATTGCACCCTGTACTAATAGTCACTAATGGCCTGCGTCATGTCCTGGGCTGTCATAGCCATTCCCGCAGCTGGATCCATGTCATTCTCCTCCTCTTCGGGGTGGGGAAACTGAGGCACAGACTTGCCTGAGGTCATCCAGCCAGCGCGCGTCTGTGAGAGCTGGGAATTGACGCCCCCTGCTCCTATCTCCCAGGCTTGTGTCCTACCCTGGGACCATGCTGTCTCCTGTCTGGCTGAGGGGCTCTGTGTTGTGGATGCCTGTGTGTGGGGGGGTGTTAACTGGGATTTTGGGGTTGAAGGGGCTGCCAGTGTGGAAGCTGTCGCCAGTGCTCTGCTCTTTTTGCAGAGGCCCGTGGGGAGATCAAAGCAGGCTGCCTGTAAATAGACTGCTTTCCACCAGGCGTTGACGGCTCTCTAATTGATTTCTGGAGCAGCGTGGCGCGTTTCCGCACAGCTGTTTGTTTTTACAAGGCTGGCGTGTTGCTTTCCACTTGGCACGCACGCTCCCGCTTGTGCTTTCGCTGCAGATTCCCCAGCACTTAGCAGCCCGGCCTCAGGTCTTCGAGTGTTGCACTTAATGAGTGTAATAGTGTCTAGAAACTGGCTCAGTATGCAGCAGTGTGTATGAAGAGAGAGTTAGCCTCCAGGCACCGGCCAAATGGGATGGATGCGGCTGTAGGTCCTTCGGGCTTCCGTGAGAAAATTGATAGCCTGGGTTCCCCGTGGCCTGGAAGTTCCTGAAATTAAAGCCCAGACACTGGACAGAGAGCAGGATGGTCCAGTGGTTAAAGCATTGGCGTGGGGCTTGGGAGATCTTGGGTTAGCTCCCAGCTCTGCCACAGATTGCTTTCACAACCTTTGTCATGTCACTTAATCTCTCTGGGGATAATGATATTAGTCAGTCTTGTCTGCTTTGGTTGGAAGCTGGGAGGGGCCAGGCCTGCCTCTCAGTAGGTGTATGTGCCCTCCCCTGGCGCTAGTGTCATGCTGTGAGTGAAGTATGTGATCTCTTTGCTCTATTGAGCGTGTCCACCATGCACAGGGACCTGCACTGCGCTGAGGAGACACCCACCGGCCCCCGTGCACTGGTCGCAAGGTGTAGCATGGAGTTTTTCTGGGGATTGACTCTTATCGGCTTGCTGTGCCGCCCTGGTCAGGAGCCTGGAAGGCTTTGTCTGTCTACACTGCATTGTAAACCCGGGGCTGTGAGACTCCGCATTTCCATGCTGCACTGTAAACCTGGGCTTACCATTGCTGGAACCGGGTCTCCCAGCCGTGCTAACGTGTCCACACTGCACCGCATGGACCTTCTGCCTCGGGTCTGCAGCTAAACCTGTGTGCACACTGCATGGTGACAGTGCTTGGACCCGAGTCACAGCAGGATTCTGGATCTGACCCCCCTCCTTTCCCCAGCAGGGTCTTGGGTGCTCACTGACCCGAGTCAAGCTGATGTGCGTGTAGACGGAAGTGGGGCTTGGGCTCAAACCTGAGTCAGAGCCTGGCTTAGTGTGCAGTGTGGACACACCCAAAGGGAACCTGCCTCAGCACATTGCAAACGCCATTAGAAGGCTGCACTCATAGAAAAACGCCTCTGGTAACAGAGACAATTATTTCCTTAAACTATTCCCTTTATTGGCAAAGAGCAGGGAAGAACAGCCCGGCTTCCTCCATAAACCAGAGACCCTGCAGCCCCTCTGGAGTGTCAGGAATGACTCAGAGGCTTAATTTGCACTGGAGCAGTGCAAACAACAGCCCTGAGATAAAAGTCAAACAGCTGGGATGTGCAAAGGGGCTCAGCTCCTTAGAGGCGTAATTCAGGACCCTGAATTCCCTGCCTGTAGATTGCAAGCCATTGTTTAACCATCTTAACAATAGGGAAACTTCCATAGTAGACAGCACTTGTGATAGCAAATGGATCCACCAAGGCAGATTCCCCTACATGGACTTTGGTGGAGTTACACTAGGGAATAACCTGGCCCATTGACTCAGTGTCTTCTCTCCCATTGCATGCAGGGCAGGCTGTTACCCTCCAGCAGCTAGAAACCCCAGTCAGAGGTGGGCCGGGCAGGGCCTGGGGACTGTTGATGGAACACACAGCTCCTTGGTCGTAGATCAATAGTCCAGTGTGGGCCTGGTCAAAAACACTCGGCTCTCTGATGGCCTCTGTGACCATCAGCTGGTGACCTTGGTGCCGTCTCTTGGTGGCCGGGTGTTCTGATCTGCGGGCCCCACCCAGTGGGGTAGGATGCAGCATCCCGTGCCTGCAGCATTGGGGACCAGGGTCTTTTTATCAGGGCAAGGAAGAGACAATTCCATGGGAGCTGCAAGCGGGGTTCGGCAGGGACCCGAGCTGGAGTTGGGTGAGCTGGGAGTTAGGAGGAGCTTGGAATTTGGTCTGAACAATTCTGTGCCCTGCACCGCCACAGACTCAGCGGGGAAGTGCCCCCTACAGGGTCACCAGCAAGGCTGCCTGGAGTGCAGAGGTCTCTCCTCCAACTCCTGGTTCTTCCCAGCCCCAGTTAGCTTGTGAAACGTGCCAAGATCAGCTCAAGGTGATGTGGCTGCCGGGAAGCAGGCCCATGGCATACTAATCAGCTGTGTGCCATCCCCCCGAGCTTGTTTGTGTCCCGTCGGGCACCAAAGAGCTAATGCCAGTCCTCTGTCCTTGTCTTGTGTTGCAGAATATCGTTGCCAAGTATGGCGCTCAGTTCCGGGGGAACTCGCAGCACGACGCCCTGGAGTTCCTGCTCTGGTTGCTGGACAGAATGCACGAGGATCTGGGCTCCTCGTCACCCAGCCAGAAGGCTAGGACAGCGGGCAAGGTCAGTGTCCTCTACCCTCCCTTGCCAGACATCTCTGCACCCTCTCCCCAGGGCACTGCTCTTGTAAGGACCTGGCTGGGGTGTATGTGTCGCCACTGCCCTCTAGCGGGTGGGATCAGAGCTGCTCAGCTGTGTGTCCTAGGCCCTGCACTGCTAACAGAGATTCTCCCGCAATAAGGGCCTGCACTCTTGGGGTGGGGGAATTGGAGTGAAGTTCTGTGTGGCCGCTGTGTTACTGCAGCCGTGGGACAATGGAAAAGACCTGTAGAATGAGGATAAATATGTCAAAGACTGTGAGATGCTCAAGTACTGTGGTGAGGGGGGCCAGGTAAGAACCATGGATAGATAGGTGGGACCATGGATTTGGTACCCTCTTATCATGTCCCTCCATTCCCCCCACAGATCCTCCTCAGCCAGGCAGAGGCTGGGGTGTTTCCCTAACACTGGGGAATAGTCTCCGTTTACTCAGTGACTCTTGGCGGCGACGGGTGGAGTTGGGGGTGAGAACATGGCTGATTGGCCACTGTGCTGTTGGTATTTTCCTCCTGCCAGTGGAATGACCTGTGCCCCGGGCCCAGCCTTTTCCCGGTACGGATCGGCGTGGTTGTGCCATTGCAGTGTCAAGACAGTGTGTTTCACCGCACCACCCGTGGGGAGTGGCTGCTGCCTGCAGAGGATAAAAGCCCTACTGCTGGTGCCAGCTAGCACAGCTCCTCTTGTAGCCCAGGAGACAGAGGGCACTTTCTCAAACCAGGGCTCCTGGGTTCTCAAACCAGGGCTCCTGGGTTCTCTAACCAG